AGCTTGGTCGAGTGCGCGGCGTGCGCATTCAGTCGCAGATGAACAATGCTGCCATCGCATTTCTCGGCATTCCCTACGCCCTGCCGCCTACAGGAGAGCGACGATTCAAGGTACCCCTCTTCATTTAATCACAGTGCCTGTTTGTTGTTGTGTTCAACTGCCCTTTTCTCCTCGACTACAGAGACCCGTCTCCTATCCAAAATGGTCACCGAAAACGTTGGTCGCCACGAACTACAAGTCCTGCTGCCCGCAGCTGGACATGAACGGAGTTCCTCACGGTGCAGAAGACTGTCTCTACCTGAACGTTTTTCTGCCACTGCACAACATTGATCATCAGGTACAGTTTGCTGCTGCTACAATGCGGAAGTGCTTTAACTTTTATGAGGGCCCTCAACGAGGGTGCAACTTTAATGCTCCGAACCGAGCACTGACCTACTTTTTTGGTTGGTGTCAAGGAATTTGAAATCCCTGCTACTATTTTTTCTTGGTCACGTTTTCTTGCAGATCATCTTACTTTCTCTTTTTTCGTCTATTTTTTTCTCAGAATCAATTTTCACTGGGCGGAAAACGTTTCCCAGTTATGGTTTACTTTCAAGGCAAGTAGTGGCTTGGGTGGTTTGGGTGGCATGCGTTTCATGTGCTTCATTAATCAGTGAGTAGTCAAAAGTGTAAATCATCAACCACAACAGGCATAGGCGCAGATCGATGGCATGATTTATGAGCCACTGGCCACCTACGACAACCGACGCACGACTGCTGATTAATTAGCTACATCTTTTAGATTTTTGCTGTTGTCTACTCAGACGCTGACGTTTAGTTTTCTATCATTTTCCTTCCTCTTCCTCTTTCTCCAGGTGAATCATTTGAAAACGGTGACGCTGCACTGTACGGCGCCGAAAAACTGCTCGATTGGGACGTCGTTCTGGTCACCTTTAACTACCGATTAGGTGTGCTCGGCTGGCTGAGCACCGGGGATGAGGCCGCCCCGGGCAACTGGGGACTGTACGACCAGTTGGCTGTTCTTCGATGGGTCAACTCGCACATTGAGTCATTCAGCGGCAATCCAAACAGTGTCACTATCTTTGGCCAGGGCGCAGGTAGGATTAGTGCGAGAGGGATGGATTTGCCTGCTCTGCTCTGTGCAGCAGTCTGTAACTCACACTCTAATCTTTTTCTCTCTCTCCTTTTCTCTCAATTTTGCACACATTTCTGCTCTCCTCGCTTATAGGCGCATCTTCAGCCTTTCTGCACCTCATCTCGCCACTTAGCACTGGCCTCTTTCACCGAGTCATCGCCCAGAGTGGCTCACCACTGTGCAGCTGGTCAATGGAAGCTGATCCAGAGACGGCCGCCCACGAGGTCGCCACGCGGACCGGCTGTCCGACGGCACTGGGCAACGCCGAGCTGGTGAGGTGTTTGCGGAAGGCGCCACTAGGGCGACTTCTGGCCACGCAGCAGCAGGGCAAGATTTTTGGTGAATTTCCGCATCGAATGGTGCCGGTAATTGAGGTGGTGGGACCTGTGGCCGGTACTGCCGGCGTCGACCAGCGCCTAGTGCCCTCTGACCCGAAGGTGCTCATCAGCCAGGGCGCCTACCGACGGGTGCCGCTGATGATGGGCTACAATCGAGATGAGGCGGCCTTTCTCTATCCACGTGAGGATCCACTTTCTTTTGCACTGACAGCTTTCTAATGGTATTCTATTTTTCTGTCTTTTCTTTCTTTCACTTTTTGCCGCCACCATCACCAAAAGTAATTCTGGGGAAGCACTTTATCGGTGACAGCAGCTCGGTGCGCACTTACCTCGAGGAAAAGTTGTTGCCGCGATTCATTCGCGCCAACCTCCTGGACAGAAGCGCCTTCATGGGCTCGATGGCCACCAATTCGGTGCACCTCAAAGGCAATCGCGCCGATATTGAGCGTGACATTGCTAATAACATTCTCTTCAAGTACTTCAATTTCATGAATGGTCGCAACTACACTGATCTGGCGACGAGATTCGTCAATGTAAGTGTCATCGAACATAAGTGTTTCCCCACACATATCTTGACACTTTGCCGATTTCCATCTAGATGAGCACTGACGCGCTCTACGGCGCTTGTATTGATGAGACGCTGCGGCTGTACTCGGCGGCGACAACTGCCTCAAGTCACCACCATCACCCCCAGCAACAGCAGCAGCACTACCAGCAGCACTCTTCTCCAGTCACCTCTGCCCTCGGTGACCTGTTGCCAGCAGTTGCCCTGGGCAGTCAGACCAATTTGCTGTTGCCCTTTGCAAACATCACCTACAAGTACGTCTTCAGCCACCGAGGCCGCAACTCGATGCTCAGTCTGATTCTGGCGGGCGCCACTCACCAGCAGCGGCACTCCTTCAATCGCCACTTTGCACTGCCACCGTCCACTTCGGTGAGCACAGGTGAACAGCAGCACTTTGGCGCAACCGCCATCAACTCTGCCGTCTGCCACGGTGACGAGCTCTTCTACCTGTTTGCGTTGAAGTTTCCCTCACGAAGACCGGACGACAACCGAGACCTGCTGGTGCAGCGAACCGTCCTCTCCCTGTGGACTGACTTTGCCAAGCACGGCTTTGCCCCGCTCTCCGCCGGACCCGACCTGCCCTACTGGCCGCCCTACACCAGTCCCCGCCTGACGACTTATTTGATTGGCGGCGGCGGAGTGGGCGGAGTGGGCGCCACTACCGACCGGTACGCCGACTCTGCGACGCACTTCTGGACACGCTACCTGCCCTCCATTGTCTCCAACTCGGCGGCGGCCTCCATCGTCGCCCGACCGCCGCTGCTGCCGCCCAGCTCCGACAAACTGGACCACCACTCGGGCAGCAGTGGTGGGCGTACCAACGCCGGCCACTACTACTACGACCGCACCTCCGTTTCGCGACTGCGCACCTTTGCCTGGTCAATGCTGGCGCTGAGCACCGTTCTGCTGTTGCTCATCTTCGTCCTCCTGGGGCTGCTATACTACCAACGACGACGGCAGACCTTCTCTGCCGAGAGTCGTCAACGGGCACGGCAGACATCGGCGAGGGCCCTGGCCAGGGCGCTAGCCACCAGTGCTCAGAGACAGTCCTCTTCAGGTGCAACAGGTGCAGCAGGTGGTGGTGGTGGATCTACTTCTGGTCTTTACTAGCCNACTGGCCACCAGTGCTCAGAGGCAGTCCTCTTCAGGTGCAACAGGTGCAGCAGGTGGTGGGTGTGGATCTACTTCTGGTCTTTACTAGCCAAGTCAGGCAGTCCTTTCTTCTCAGTCGTCCATACATTGTACATAGCGCCATATATGCCTCCATTCCTCCCCTCCTCGCTCGTTCACAGAACAATCAGTCGCACATAATAAACGAACAAAAAGTCGCAGTGAGCTGCTCGCAACGCGTAGATTGCCATTGCTGGTATTATTCTACTCTGCCGAGCATTGTTTTATGCTGCGGTTGCTGCTGCAGTTTTTGTTGTCGCTCAGTGGATATAATACATGAACAAAACACTTTCATGCATCAGCAGTGCTGATGACAATTTGACGCACTGTCAATGAGACAAATCGCGGACACAGGTGTGCTGGTTTGCTGGCTGTGTGTGTGCGCGGCTGAGGTGAAGCATCAGCCATTCAGCGATGGCCACGACCACGACGACCACTCGAGCACTGCTCGACCACGAGCACAATCATCGGCAGACGGCGACACGGCCGAGTGCCAGTGCTGCCGCTGAATCGATATCACCTCGCTAAAGTGCACACAAAAACAAACTGCCTGTCAACTGAAGTCTCTCTCTCAGCCGGTGTTTTAACTTTTTGAGCCAGACCATTTCACCTGGTTGCCATAGTTACCAGCAGCACCTGAACAGTTGCAGCACCTTCAATTCACCATGAGCCATCAGCAGGGCTCTGTCATCGTCTGACCACCACCACCACCACTCTTCAGAGGTATGTTATGCGGGAAGTTTTACAGTCTGATGTTTATCTAACAAGCTACCATTCTACCATTATCAGGTCTACTGAATTGATTGCCTCGTTGAATCGTAAATGACAACTGCTAGATGAGATCACAACATTGTCGGGTTGTCATCATCTCCTTCATACAGCTCTAAAACATTTTGACTTTCTGTCTGTGATATCATTCCCACTGACTCACCAAAGTTCTCACTATTTTCGAACCACATTTCCCATCGATTAATCTTCTCAATGAGCCAACCACCATATCTGCACCACTACTCTCAAAGCAAGATGCCTGAAAGAAAACAGAAAAGCCTTTTCTGGACGTATGTTTGGTGGCTTTTTGGCGGCTGGCTGGGACTGCACCACTTTTACCTCGGACGAGATCGACATGCGCTTGCACTGTGGATCAGTTTTGGCGGCTACTTTGGCTTGGGCCTTCTGCGAGACCTCTGGCGCATTCCAGAGTACGTCGCCGACGCCAATGATGAGCCACAGTACATGCTGCGGCTGGTGGCCAAGATGAGACAGCAGTCAAAGCCCTCATTCGGCATCAGTCGCTACTTTGGTGCAATCATCGTCGCTGACATTCTCGGGTACCTCGTTATGGGCGCCATACCGCACGAGCTGATCGACCCCTCTGGCACCAGTGAAAATATCATTTCACGTCTGCTCATTTCACTGCTCGTCCCGTTTGGGTGCGCTGTTGGTAAGTGATTCTTATTCTGTTGGAGATACCAAACTTTTAAATGGTCAATACATTCAATGCTACAGGTGTTCATCTGGTGGGCAACATTGGCCGCTTTACTGGCTCCCTGAAGGCGCCTCTCCTAGCTGCCTACCTGACAGCACCGCTGTACATGCTGCAGTACAATGCTGTCTTCATTACCTCACTCATCGCACTGGTCGCCTTTGTGAAGTACTCTCTCAGGTGGCGTAGAACGCCCAGTGACCGACGGTCCTCTCTGAAACGATTCACCGGCCTGGCCCTCATCACCCTCGTCTACTGTGCACTGTGGAGCTCGTGGTTCTACTTTAACTGTTCAGTGACGGACAAGAACGAGGAGAACATCAAGTGCAGAGACGCACTGGCGAACTTCTTCAACAGTCCTGCCTGGCTTGAGTTTCGCGAGGTGCTCGGCAAACTAGTGGACTTTATTCGACAACAGGGTCTCGCAGGACTGTGGAAGGAGATTGTCGAGGCGCTCGATCCGCAGGGCGAAAAGAATGCTCTGAAGATACTTGAGCTAACAGAGGCTGAGGCGACACAGGAGATGATCACGACGAAGTATCGCAAGCTGGCCAGACAGTGGCACCCTGACAAGCACCAGGGCGTTGAGGAGAAGAAGCTCGCTCAGGAACGATTTATGGCCATTCAGCAAGCGTACGATTTGCTGTCGGGAATGAAGCAACGACGATACCGGAAACACCGGTTGCGAGACTGAACAGCAGTAACCAATCAGTTGTTTGTGCTATTTTACCAAAAAAGGGCTTTTGTTGGTTTTGGCGCGCACTTGCTTGTTATTATTTTTGGCAACACTAACTGCTAGTAAAGGTTTACTAAAGGCTCAATGAAACCAAAATGAGTAAAGTGAATCCAAATTGAATCAGCGTGGTAAAAAACAATTCAGAAGAACCCTGAATGTATTTTTATTAGCGCGGTTACCAGCAATGTACTGCCTGAGGTTGTCAGGTGTGGCCAAGAGTGCTCTCACCTTACTGCGGCAGGTAGCTGTACTGCCAGGCAGCCAGACAGTCCGTCCGACTGCTTGAGCAACTCAGTCTTTCCATCAACAGCACAATCAGCACCACCACAATCATCAACAGCAGCAGAAGCACTGTCTGAGCATCCAGCCGATGGACCACTGATCTAGGTGCTGACCAGTGTCCGGTCTCACACTCACACACTAAGGCTCACAAACGTTATCCATCAGCACCAAGTCACAATGAAGAGATCTTCAGGCGCCAGGATTCTGCTGTTGACAGCACTTTTTGTTGGTGTATTTACTGGTAGGCTTCCGTTCTTTTTGTGCTGATAAGCATCCATTCAACTCCTCCATCTTCTCAACAGGTGTCTACTCTTACGAGTGCTACGTCTGCAAGGACCAAGACAATAACAGCGAAAAGTGCGTCAAAACTGTGAGAGCGTGTGACATTGCGGAGAACGCCTGCATGACGATAGTTCGCTGGGGAAGTAAGTGAAAGTGGTCTAGAATACAGCCAAATGCATTGAGCACTGAAACTAATGCGACTTATTTTTCTATTTCCAGGCAGTCCATACTATGACCAGAAAGGAAATAAGCAGTACTACGTGTCAAAGCAGTGCGCCACTACCTTGCTCTGTGAGACAATGAAGACCAACATGAGCCGACGGTGTGATCGCATCTGGTTCAATGACTGGGAGTGTGCCGAGTGCTGCACCGGTGACCGTTGCAATTACTTTATCACCGTAAGCAGCACTCTGATCACCAGGAATTCACAAACTTACCTTTTATCTTTTTCTTAATAAACAGCTCTCCGGCAGCTCACTACAGCCAGTGGTGCTCTTCACAGCAGTGACAGTGTCGGTCACTCTTTTGATATCATCTTTTTTCAGCTGAATGCCATCGTGCTCACTCTCTCCGTCTTGAAGACCAGGTGTGCACAACTCTCTGCCAATTCCAATTCAAGTATTACCCAACTGTAATTAGAGTGATCACTGAGACGTTAATCATCCACTTTTATACACCTCATCTTCACTTCAATTCTCATTTTAATCAGCGCAATCCCTTTCCACTTAAAACATTGCAATCTTTATCTCCCTGTGAATCTCTCTTTTTTGCAATCCCCTTCTTTCCAAATAAAGCTCACTATTTTTATGATAATCATTTTTGGAAAAGATCATTGCGCACGTCCTTTTCGAGTGCGTCGAACTAAGAAGCAAACGAGGAAAAATGCCATTTTTTTCTATTCAAAGGACGGCAATCTGCCTCGCTCAAGTGCTCACATGTGCACTGCAGCAGCACATGATGCTTTAGCTGTCTGCATCTTCTTAAAGACCCGATTTGGATACTTGTTTGAAACTACCTGAAATCAACTAAATGCCACTGGGTACTCACCAGAAAATTTTTCTTGCTTGGTAAGGAAGAGGGAGAGAACTTTTTGTTAAACAACAACATGCTTCTTACCTAAACACCTTTTCTTTCAGGGGCATCTTCGGCGCATTGGGCATTACTGGGTTTGTTTTGGCCAAGACCANAACAACAACATGCTTCTCACCTAAACACCTTTTCTTTCAGGGGCATCTTCGGCGCATTGGGCATTACTGGGTTTGTTTTGGCCAAGACCACTGCTTTTGAGAACCGGGATGAGGCGTTGAGAGCTCGGATAGAACTTAGAAAGAAACTCGAATCCGAAAAGTGATAAACCTTTTGCAAAAGTGCCTTAATTAGCAAACAGTTTACCTTTCGACCGCCACCAATTTGCACCTCTGCTCAATCATCCACTAACACACCAGTCTAAATCACACCGACAACATGGCTGCTCCGTCCTTCAACATCGACTCCTCCAAGCTGCAGATCATGGCCGAGCTGGAAATAGAAATGATGGCCGACATGTACAACCGAATGACGCGCGCCTGCCAGCGCAAGTGCATTCCCAAGAAGTACAAGGACGCTGAACTGTCCAAGGGCGAATCGGTCTGCATTGACCGGTGTGTAGCCAAGTACCTAGACGTTCACGAGAACATTGGCAAGAAGTTGACGACACTCTCCAAGGCGGACGAGGAGACGGCCAAGAAGATGCAGGAGCAACAGGAGGCAGCAATGAAGGCAGCCGCCAAATGATGCAATCGGTGATCATCCCTTGCCCAACACTTTGTAGTCATATGAACAATTCATTGTTTCTCTTACCACTCTGTAATTACCAGTTATTTTTTGTATTCGCTTTCTTCATTAGAGATCAATAAATTCAGTATAAATAGTTGTTATTAAAATATTAAAAGACCCATTTTATTTGAATTTTCACAAGGTGATCCACATTAAAAATCAAGCTTCTACATTTCTACGAATAAATAAGAAATCAAGGAAGCACGGTTGCAACACTTCAAGATTGTTTGACTACGTTGTCTCCGCCGCCATTCGGCTCTTCAGGACCTTCAGGGCCCTTGGGAACATTGTCATCGGGCTTCATCGCCGGGAAGAAGAGCACCTCTTTGATGTTGTTCGAGTCGGTGAGGAACATGGTCAGCCTGTCGATGCCAATGCCGACACCGCCCGTCGGCGGCAGGCCGTACTCGAGGGCGCTGCAAAAGTTTTCATCAATCAGCTGCGCCTCATCGTCACCAGCGGCCTTGTCTTTGGCCTGCATCTCAAAGCGCTGTCGCTGGGTGAAGGGATCATTCAACTCGGTGTACCCGTTGACTATCTCCTTGCGGCAGACAAACAGCTCAAAGCGCTCCGTCAGACCGGGCTTGTTGCGGTGCCACTTGGAGAGAGGACTCATCACAATGGGATGCTCTGTAATGAAGGTCGGGCTGATGCAGTCGTCCTCGATAAAGTGACCGACGAGCTTGTCGAGCATTCGGGCGGTGGTTCGCGGCGCTGGGCACTCAACCTCGTGCTTGGTGCAAAGGTCAGAGAGGAACTTGTTCGCCTCAGGGGTATCGAATTCAGTTGCCGGCGGAAAGGTGACTTTGAGCTTGGCCTCAAGCTCGTCAATCATCTTCACCTTCTTGAAGGGTGCCTTAAAGTTGATGGTCACCGGCTCACCCTCTGGACCCTCAGGATGATACTGAACTTCGTACTTGCCGAACATGTGAAAGACCATATTAGAGATCATCGCCTCCATCATCTCCATGAGGTCGTTGTAGTCGGCGTAGGCGATATAGAACTCACAAGTAGTAAACTCTGGATTATGCGTCAGATCGATGCCTTCATTTCGAAACTGACGGCCAATCTCGTAGACGCGGTCAATGCCGCCGACGACGAGCATCTTCAAGTACAGCTCAGGGGCGATACGCATGTACAGATCCATGTTCAGGTCATTGTGGTGGGTGACAAAAGGCTTGGCGGTAGCGCCGCCGGCAATCATGTTCATCATCGGCGTCTCCACTTCAAGGAAGCCCATCTTGTCGAGAAAATCACGAATGAAGCGAATGACGCGAGCTCGAGAAACAAACTTGGTTCGCGAGGACTCATTGAGAATCAGATCGAGGTATCGCTGGCGATAGCGCTTCTCCTTATCTCGAAGTCCAAAGTGAATATGCGGCAGCATGTGCAGGCAAGGAGTGAGCAGGTTGATCTGCGTCGGAATCAGGCTCAGTTCACCTTTCTTAGTTCGGCCCGGATGCCCGACCAGGCCGAGAATGTCCCCGCGACGAACTCGATCATTGATGTTTCTAAACTCCTCTTCACTTGAGTAGTAGCGAGCGTTAGCCATAACTTGAATCTTTACGCCTTCGCCGCGTAGATCGTAGAAAATCAACTTGGCGCCTGACTCTCGCTTGGCGTGAATTCGTCCTGCAACGCTAACAGTGACATTCTCCAGCACTTCTTCATCCTTCAGATGGCTGTACTTCTCGATAAATTCGGTTAGGCTGATTGAGACGTGAAATTTGTGTGGGTACGGATTTTCACCAGCATCACGAAGCTGGCCAATCGCTTGTGAGCGAATTTTAAAGTACTCGCTGGGGTCCAGCTCTTCTTCATTGACACTTTCCTTAACTTTGGCCGGGCCGGCGGCGGCTTGCTGTTCGCTTTTCAGTTTCTCCTTTTCAGCCTTTTCCTTCTCCTTCTGTTGTTGTTTCGCTCGACGTTTGAGCTCATTCTTGCTGAGCTTCTCGCCGGGAGCTGCTGCGTCAGAACTCATTGTTCGGCGTGTAGTCTCGTTCGGTAAGTGACTAATATGAATGATAAATGAATATGAACAAAAGCTTGTCAATGATGAAATGGTACACTTACTTTGCACTGAATAAAGTAGAGCACTTTAGTGAAGAGTAAACAGTTGGCAGAGCACCAGAACTTTGCCGGAAGAGCTTTGTTGTTCTACTACAGTTTCTAAGGATGCACAGAGCAGGAGAGAGAAGACGCGAGTGCATTCAATCGGCGTGATTCTCTTGACACACTTCTTCCTCTTCTTCTCTCGGGCTTGCCGGACAGAAGTAATCAATGCAAATGGTGTGATGCAACTGAGGACACTGGTTACACCAGCCAACAGACGGACGACTAATGAAGGCAGATGAAAGAAGCGGCGACGGCGGTGGCGGCAACGTGGATTGCACATTTACGCTGAACGGCGCCAACTGGGCAGCCGATTACGGAGAGGGCCCAACTTACACGGTGCCAGTTGAGCAGTGGCTCGAGCAGAAGTGCATCGTGTGAACACTGGTCTGTGGACAGTGTTGTAAACGTCAAGCCGGAGAGCACCAGAGGAAATCATCATCACCACCATCGTCAGACGACAGAGGAGCACCGGCAGGACGACCAGCCCAGTCACAGCCCAGTGACGCCCACACAACACAGCAGTTATCTCTCGCCTGGCGACGCCAGAACAGTGGACTCTATTTCCCTTTCTTTCTCTCTCTCTGCTAGGAGGACAGTGTCTGTTACGGAGGATAACACACAACAATCTCTGCTCTGGCTGTACAGCTGTGCAATGCCTGGGTGTGACGCTCTTCTTCCCTTGTGCTAACACACACACTCAGGATCATCTCTGACCGACGACGCTCTTCTCGTCGACAACACTAGCCCTTTCACCTGCTCAACCACCACCTGTGCTACCGAACAATAACACCTTTCTGACCAACAACAGCAGACGACCACTGGACAAAAATGGCACAACGAATGCCTGCAATTGTGATTGATAATGGTACCGGGTATGTTTTTGTATCATCTTTCAAAAAATCGGGCTTCTAACGTCCACTCGATCTCTAGGTACACCAAAATGGGCTATGCCGGGAACAGGGACCCACAGTTTATTATTCCGTCGTCGATTGCGATCAAGGAAACATCAAAAGTAGGCGATCAGGCGAACCGGCGGCTTGCTCGCGGTGTCGACGATCTGGACTTTTTCATCGGCGATGAGGCGCTCGATGCTACCGGATACTCTGTCAAGGTAACGATTAACCTGAAAATCAACTGAGCTAACTTGTGTTTCCCACAAATAGTACCCGATTCGGCACGGAATTGTCGAAGATTGGGATCTGATGGAGCGCTACTGGGAGCAGTGCATCTTCAAGTACCTGCGCTCTGAGCCAGAGGACCACTACTTTCTGCTCACCGAGCCACCGCTGAACACGCCGGAGAATCGCGAGTACACTGCCGAAATTATGTTTGAGACCTTCAACGTGCCTGGCCTGTACATTGCCGTGCAGGCGGTTCTGGCGCTGGCCGCCTCCTGGATCTCCCGGCAGCAGGGCGAGCGGACGCTTACCGGCATCGTCATCGACTCGGGCGACGGCGTCACTCACTGTATCCCTGTGGCGGAGGGGTACGTCATCGGAAGTTGCATCAAACACATTCCGATTGCCGGCCGCAACATTACCTACTTCATTCAGAATCTTCTTCGTGAGCGTGAGTTCGGCATTCCACCGGAGCAGTCGCTGGAGACGGCCAAGGCCATCAAGGAGCGCCACTGCTACATCTGTCCGGACATTGCAAAGGAGTTTGAGAAGTACGACAAGAACCCCTCAAAGTGGATCAAAAAGTACACCGGAACTAATGGCATCACCAAGCAGCCTTTCGAGGTGGACGTCGGCTTTGAGCGCTTCCTCGGGCCCGAAGTGTTCTTTAACCCGGAAATAGCCAACCCTGATTTTGTCACTTCACTCTCCGACATTGTCGACACATGTATTCAGAACTGTCCGATCGATGTGCGTCGTCCGCTGTACAAGGTAAATCTGCAGAAAAGGTTTTTCGAATGTTAACTAATGTTCTCATTGTGTGCTTACAGAACATTGTCCTCTCCGGTGGCTCTACCATGTTCAAGGACTTTGACCGCCGACTGCAGCGTGACATTCAGAGAACCGTCAGCGGGCGAATGAAGCTGAGCAACCAGCTAAGCCAGGGGCGCCTCAATCCGACGCCCATTGAGGTGCAGGTGGTGTCGCATCACATGCAGCGCTACGCAGTCTGGTTTGGCGGCTCGATGCTTGCCTCCACGCCGGAGTTCTACTCGGTCTGCCACTCGAAGGCCTCCTACGAGGAGTACGGACCTAGTATCTGCCGCCACAACCCCGTCTTTGGAACGATGACCTAGACTTGCTGCTGTTGCGGCAGACCTGAACTCTTCTGTGCTCAAGCAGCAGCAGTGCTGTTTGCATCCTGTACACACCCTCACGCATATACCCACCCACCCTCTCTCTCTCTCTCTGCATGTCTTTTACTCCCTCAAAATAACACTAGGCTTCAAGCAATCAACTCCAAATCAAACTACAACTTTATTGTTAATAAGTCCTACGCGATTTGTTTTTGTCTCACTTTTTTATATTACACTTACCTATGTTCTCTGTCTTGTCTTCTATTAAAGGTATTACTTTTAAATAACAATTGAAGCACTGCCAAAGTTATCATCAAGTCTAGTTTCCGGTTCAATATCGATTTTTTGGCAAGCGATATACTATTTCTACCTGACTTTATCACCGCCGGTAATCGGCAACAGAACAAAACAACAAAAGTTGGGGTAATTTGAAAATAATTTAACAGCCTCCAAATTACGATAAGCCAGTGTCTGTGTCTGTGTTTACCCACTACCTCATTAGCAGATACACACAGGCAGAGGCGACGAGAGTCCTCCGTCTTCCCTGAGTACGCAGTGACTGCGGCGAGATTTCCACCCTTTGAGTCATCACCCCTGAGCATACAGACTGGCGCTTGGACAGTTCACTGTCTGCGCCACAAATCGGCTGTGATCAATACCTTCGTAGTCTGCCACCGAACAAGTGTAGCACACCACTGTACCACTAGTAAACTAGTTGGACGAGCTTTTATTTGTTGTTCAAAGATTGGGTGTATATAAACGGCACGTGCATCATCATCATCATCATCACCAGCGTCATCATTTATTTTGCCATGAGTACCTTTCCTGCCGCCCTGTGCGCTAAAGACGAAGCCAAGGTAAGAAACGCACCTTTTTATCTACCTACTCAATCATCAGCTGTCACTCTTTTTAAAAACAACAGCTTCTGGAGCCGTACCACTACATTCTGCAGTGCACTGGCAAGCAGATTCGCACCAAGTTGATTCAGGCCTTCAACCACTGGCTGGAGATCCCTGAAGATAAGCAAAAGATAATCAGCGATGTCATTGAAATGCTCCACAACTCTAGTCTGCTGTATGTTTTGTTAAAACTGACACCTTTTTTTGGTGAAACTAATCTTGTTGTTTGTCCACCAACAGTATCGACGACATTGAAGACAACGCCACTCTTAGGCGAGGCATTCCGGTGGCGCACAACATCTTCGGCATCGCGTCAACAGTCAACTCTGCCAATTACGTCTACTTTCTCAGTTTGGAGAAGCTCATCAAAACATTCCCTTCTGATGTCTGTGCCGAGGCAGTTACCATCTTCACGAACCAGCTGCTGGAGCTACACCGTGGCCAGGGTCTGGACATTTACTGGCGTGACTCGTTCACCTGTCCGACTGAGGAAGAATACATGGACATGATTCAAAGAAAGACAGGTGGTCTTTTTGGCCTCGGAGTCAGCCTGATGCAGTTGTTTAGCGAGGATAAACGCGACTTTTCAAATCTCATCAGACTGCTGGGTACCTACTTCCAAATACGAGACGACTACTCGAACCTAAAGTCCGCCACGGTAATCTAAACTTGATTCAAATTGCTTTTCAACAGCTTCTTTATTACAGTACGAAGAGAATAAAAGCTACTGCGAAGACCTGACTGAAGGGAAGTTTTCCTTCCCAATCATTCACGCAATTCGCAACCACCCGGACGATAAAACGCTGATCAGTACGTGTTTTTTAAGACCAAAATCACTTTACAACAAAAGCTAACATATCCTTTTTCTAGACATCATCAAGCAGCGAACGCAAAATGTAGAGCTCAAGAGGTACGCTGTTAACCGCCTTGAAGCTTTTGGATCGTTTGAGTACACTATGACGACAATGAATGACCTGAGCGACAAGGCCATCAAAGAGGTGGAGCTGCTAGGAGGCAATCCCTACCTGAATCAGTTGCTCGAATACTTGAAGGAAATCTAAATCAAGTGTTACATGAAATGTTAAATTATTTTTTAAATTTGTTTTTTACTGAAGCCACAATCAGGTCAAGTCCATCTTTTTGGACTCAAATAAAACTCCCACTTTTAATGAACAAAAATCAAATGGTTAACACTGCTTCACCACAACTGTTTTCTCTAGTTGTGTCGAGGTGTGTTAGTTTAGGTAGTTTGGGCAGTTGGTGGTGAAATTCTGGAGCATTTACTTGTTCCAGGACGTTTTCTAACGATATTGCATCATCGCAAGCAGCTGTGTGCACTGTTTGGCTATTTGCACATTGACCCACTGCTTCGAGAGCCAAAAGAGCCGTTAACGCGAGGAGAATCGCCGTCCCTCGGCAAACTCTCACGAGTGCAACGAGAGACGGCGCTCTGCCTCGCCATTAGCAGCTCTGCACACCGCTCATTTCTGTTGTGCGTTTCCACTTGCGCTACTCTGCATCGTAGTGGCGCCACTTTGCGCACACAATAGCAGTGAGCGTGTTCAGAATATTTCCTTGAAAGCGAGCCGAGCTGTAACAGTTATTTTGGGCATTATTTTGCAGCTTCAGTTTCCCTTTCATTTTCTGTGATCCTGGGTCTTTGTGCCTGTTTACATCTCTGCTAATCATCGACGCCGTCTCTGCCGCTGCCGCTGCTGAGTGGCCACCGAACACCATGCGCAACAGCCGCCCAAAGAAACGTCAGCGTCGTCAGCGACGATCTTCCACCAGTGCCGATGACAGTGACTCCAGCTTCACCGTGGCCACCCCTGCCACCAACAGCAGAAAGAATCGCCGTCAAACAGCAGCTGAAGTGGACTTTGCTGAGGAGAACAGCAATGACAGCGCCTCGGCGGAGTACCGCACCCGGTCGGGGAGAAAGTCCTCGCACCGTGTGGGCATCACCGTTGCCCGCACTGTGCCTAAGAAGAAAAAGATCGGACGGTCGAGGAAGCTAGACATCTACCGAAGTGAGGACGAGGACGAGGAGGATGAGGTGGTGGACTACGGTCACCACTTTGAAGAGGAGGAGGAGGAGGAGGAGGAGGAAGTGCGGCTCAGCGAGGAGGATTCACCTAATGAGGATGAGGTCGAAGAGGAGGAAGAGGTAGAAGAGAATGTCAGTGACGAAATCCTAAGTAAGAAGAGACTGCGCTCTGCTCGAGAGGCTCCAGCCGCCCTGTTTATGGACAACGTCGAAGTCCCTGAGCTGACGCTGCCGCCTTCCTCCGAGGACCTGCTCATCAAGGGCCGAAACCTGATGAGAACTATTAGCATTTACGAAATTCTACGCCGCTTCCAGCAAAACCTTCG